GAGGGTGGACGATTGGTCTTCTTCAACACTGGCTGCTATATATATGTGCAGCAGCTGTTGAAGAAAGACACACAACACTCAACACTCAACACACAAACTGAAATTCTGAAATCGCTCAACAGATTTGGCTATACATTGCACTCCTTCCTCTCAGTATTTCCATACGATTTTCTGAGTTTCTACTCCTTCGTTCTGCATTGTTTTAACTTCAAACAAAGCAATTGTAAGTGTGATTTGCTACCGAACTTTGTGTTCGCTGAAACACTGGGGTTTGAAGTACCGCTACACCAGTGTGTGATTCGTTCTATCCTGCGAGGAAATAATCCATTATCTTGGGTACTAGGAGGGGATTAAATTCCTTAAGGAAACACTGTGAATTCAGTGGGCTCGAATTAATTACTGTTTCATTACGTTAACTTATATTTTGCAGAATTATTATTTACAAATATAGCAATATTGGCGGGACTAACAAAAGTAGTGTGGATATGTTCCATCTGTTGTTATAGAGCTAATAAATCTGCCTGTGTATTATGCTCCCTCTTCCCCTCCTTGCCCCTTCACTTCAAAATTAAAATTAAAACAAAAAAAGTCATAGTTGGGGTCTTCTTTCTTCATAAATACCTGCACCTTCCTCTATCATCACACAACTCATCACTTTTTAGCACTTCTTTCTCTCAAAGGAAAGAAGTGTTTTTCTTCTTCTTTCCAAAACTCGCAACTTTCTTTTCATTAACATTCTCAAACATTCAAGAAAACAAATTAAAATGGCCATCAGAAAATCAAACAAGTTGTCACAAGCTGCAGTTTTAAAGCAAATCTTGAAAAGGTGTTCGAGTTTGGGAAAGAAAAATGGCTATGACGATGAAGATGGCCTTCCCATTGATGTGCCCAAAGGTCATTTTGCTGTCTACGTAGGAGAGAATCGAAAACGATATATTATACCAATTTCTTTCTTAAGTCACCCTCAGTTTCAGTCCCTTCTCCGTTGTGCCGAAGAGGAGTTTGGGTTCAATCACGACATGGGCATTACTATTCCTTGTGAAGAAGTCGTTTTCCGATCATTAACTAATTCCATGCTGCAGTAGAGGAGAACTGTTGAAGGGAAACTTTGGCGTAACTGGTAAAGTCAGGAGTTCACGGTTCAATCCGTAAACTCGGTCTCTTACAAAAAAAATGCAAGGTAAAACTATGCGCTGGGCTACCTTTTAGTAGAGGAGAAATGTTGAAAAGTGATTAACTGGTATTAATTGAAAAGGTTTTAGGTGAAGAGAGATGGATGGGCTCAACATGAAGCAATACTTGGTGAATTGCGCGCTTCTTAATTCTTTTTTTCGACATCTTTCTTCACTGTATTATTTTTATTGTTATTATTATTATTTTTTCTTTTTCTTTTAGTTGACATCTTCTAACGTCGACCCAAGAAGCAGATGAAATTGTTTGTTTTTATGGGTCAGATTTGTAAAAAGAAAAGCTTGGGAATTTTTCCTTGCAGAGGTGTACGTTTGGTTATGACATTCTGTGAGAGAAGTTAATGTACCTCCTTCATTCATTTCCTAATGTTATTTATGATTTGATATATTAAGTTATATACAAATGGTGTATATTAAAGTTTACTATTTTGGTGTAATTAATCTCGAAGACTTAACAAAGTAAATACATTCTGCTGTATTATTCTCTCCGTTTTTTTTATTAGTTCTCTTTTGACTTGGCACGTCCTTACTACTAGAAATAATATTTTAAAAAATAGTAAATCTCTCTTGATTTGCTAAAAAATTATGACTTCACCAACTATAGGAGAAAGACCTTAAGAAAGTCAATATATCAATTTAAAGCGTAAAAATGTTGACTATTCCTTTCAATTCGCCATAATGACTATTGCTATATATTCCAGAAATTTTATTGCGTACCTAGAAGAATATATTATTCCCTTCGTCCCAATTTATATATCACTATTTAATTGAGCACGAATTTTAAAAAAAAAATAGAAAGTAGCATTTTTGAAACTTGTGATTCAGACCAAACCAGAGGTATTTGTGTGACTATAAATAATTTTATTAAACGGTAAAATGAGAATTTCAAGTTAAGTTATTTCTAATATGAAAAGATGACATCTATCTTTTTGGGACAAGCTAACAAGGAAAGCATGTCATAATATAAATTGTAACAGGAGTTATAAACTAAAATTACTATAAAAGAAAGGCAAACAAAAAGATGAACAATAGGAGCCACAATACTACAATAGTAAATATGAAGCAACGCACAAGTGAACCGCTATACATTCTATTGAAGAATAAAAAAAATTAGAACAATGTGATATAGAATGCTGCAAATGGAAACAAGTACCATTAAAGCCTGGATGTTGAAAACTAGCAACCATCCTTCGGCAGTGAAAACTATGTTTCTTGCCTTCATAAATAATGTTTACCAGAATACTAAACCAGAGAAGAAATTAAATTCAATATCCAAAGGACTGCATTTTAGTAGCAAGGAAAAAAGAATTGGGCAAAGATCACTTTACAACCGATAACCGCAAAAGTGTAAAATATGTATTTTTTTATATATAAAATATAGAAATATATATATATATATATATACAAAAAATTTACAGACTATTAACTTAAGAGCGGCTATTTTCCAAAAAAACAAATTAGAATTGAACATAGTATGACAAGTTTTGGGCCCATTTGGCATTAAGAGGGCAAACATACAAATGTAAACCCAATGGGTTATGAACCCCACCTTGTCCTTCTCGAATACACATACTTCAACAAACCGTCTGCATGTATTGTTTCATGTGGAGACATATATTCTAAAAACATCTAAATCAAATGGTGAGAAGTATCACTATATTTTGAGACACAAATACAAACTCTCTACTTATATGGAACTAGAATATATGTACGAACTAACAGTCAAAAACTTATACAAGGCTACCCGAAATATCAATGAAATGGCCTTCAAAAAAGCAAACAAGCTGCAATTTTAAAGAAAATATTAAAAAGGTGTTCGAGTTTCACTGCTAGAAATCAACTGATTTTCGTCCAAGGCTTTCCGACCGAAATCGGTCGAAAAGAAAACCGACCGAAATCGGTCGGAAATAAGAGTATTTGGTCGCAAAAGTCAACAAAAATTTTCTGATAGAAAAAAATAATTAGTCAAATATTTGGTCATACTTGTATATAATGTACAAAAATAATTATATATTAAAAAATTTTCAAATTTCCGACCGAATTCGGTCGAAAATTGGTCAAATATTTGATCATACTTGTATATAATGTACAAAAATAATTATTTATTAAAAAATTTCCAACTTTCCGACCGATTTCGATCGGAAATTGGTAAAATATTTGGTCATACTTATATATAATGTACAAAAATAATTATTTATTAAATATTTTCTAACTTTCCGATCGATTTCGGCCGGAAATTGGTCAAATATTTGGTCATACGTGTAAATAATGTACAAAAATAATTATTTATTAATATTTTTCCAAATTTCCGACCGAAATCGTTCGGAACGTTTAAAATAATTAATTCCCGCCCAAGACAAAAATTATATATATATAATTAACCAACCGAATAAGTTATAATTAAATATTTTCGACCGATTTCGGTCGAAAAAATGATTTTAAAATAATTAAAATATAAATTTATTAATATTTGTGTGTGTGTAAATAATAA